TGCCTGTGCTAGGACCGCTGCCTACACTGTCAGTCTGAATTCACAGATTTCTTCTCAATATTCAACACACAATCCAGAGGTCAAAGGAGCCTTTTCTGTCACATGCAAATCCACACTAATCTTTCCCATACTTCTCATTCTTCTCGAATGTATAGTGAGGCCACCTCCAAAGTACAAGAACCCACCAGAGAGGTTGCCAGTTTTTCAGCCAATACTGAGGAGGGAGGTGATATATTTCCCCCAAGGTCCAGTCGTCCATCCTTTGAGCGTGTGCCCACCAGCATCTCCCCGGTGCCAGCACCACTGGGCTCCAGGATCTAGATGCTGAGAGCCATTGGATGCAGGATCGGTTAAGTGGGAATTGTAGTCGGGATAACAGTAAAGTGCATTTACCTTTAAAGTTTAATAAAAAGCAAAGATTCCATTAATGTAACGGCAAAGTGCATGGGATTGTGAAACCATTGCTTTAGTGATTTTAAAAGACAGAGGATGCAAAGTTACCCTCTGGTGGGATTTTAATTTCTGCTCCATGATAACCTGTTAGTCCTCCGCTTTGCTGGGAATGGCGGTGAGTGAATTCTAGTGAGTAGATCCCGCCGTTCACTGTGTGCTCAGCATGTCTGTGGCTTCTCGCCTGCTGCACCTCCGTGACCCAGCGGGGACCTCAGTCCCTGCGTCCTTCTCCCCCTGCAAGTGGCCTCCCACCGTCCACACTCACGTGTGCACAAGTGGCTGCAGGACAAAGAGAAAGTCACTCTGAAATACTGCACATAAATAATTGCACCAGAGAGTGATAAAAAAGACCACCCTCTGGCTCTCTGCTGATCTTGAAGCAATGTATTTACAGAAAAAGATTTATTACAAGAATGTTGAACTTTTACAGTTGAGATACATGGAGGATCAGCCTGGGGGGGTCATAATCAATTCCTTGTTCATCTCCTCTGCCTTCTGAGCCTTACTTGAGGTGCCTGCCCTTCTCTGATGAAGGAGAGAAGGCAGCGTTACCGGTATGGTGTCAGGGCTGTGGCTTCTGAGTCTGTTATTTTAGTTAATCCCCTACAAGGCTTGAACACCACACTGCAGGCTTTATGATCTCCATTTTCACAGATGAAAACCCAAAGGCAAGAGAGGTTAGATTTGCTGAGCTCTATAGTAATTAACGATCGGCAGGTGCCGGATTAAAAATCCAGGTAATTCCCTATATGCGCTTTTCATCGGATGTCGTTGTAAGGTATTAGGTCGGGAGTTAATTAGGTAGGAAATTTGCTGTTTTCATTATAGAACCTGTGTATCTATGTACAGGTTTGCAAGGAGCAGGTGTTTGTCATTCATGTATTTCCTCAAGGTCCCTTGGTCCCGTAAGGTCTTATTTCTCTCTGCTGAGTTAATTACTAATGTAGAGATGCTGGTGTCTCAGACCTAGTGGAATGCTTTTCACCCCATGAGACATGCCCGTCATGTAAGTGATGTCCAGTAATCCCTATTTTTAACTAAAATACATTCCTAGAGGCATTGGTATACTCGTAGCTAGACCCAGGCCTCTAAACTTTACTTTCTCAACTGTAAAATGGGGATAAAGCTACATTGTTATTCCTGTAATTACATGACATAAAAGGCTTATAGAAGTGTGAGGGGTAAAGCAAAAAAATACTGTAAAATTAATCCTGTATCTCCATGGAAACATTAATTTTAGGATTGCTTTCTTGAACAGGGACTCAAAAATTTGGTACAGTCAACATCTTTTGAAACCAAAGTGAAAAGAACTGTAAGTCTGTAAAAATAGTACAACAGAGATCTGTTTCCTGTGACATGGACATAAAAACAACCAGCCAGGCTGATTGTAGGTCAGTCCTGCAGGGTCACACATGGGTCTTGCATCACCACAGCTGACATGTCAGCGCTCAGAGCGGACGCAGGCTTCCCCCCTTGTGGAGGGCATGGGGAATGGCTGTCTGCAGAGTCTCCTGCTCACCATGTCCCCCTCCCTCACCCCCTGCCCCAGCACAGCCTTAAGTGAGAAGCTGGGGTATCTCCGTGCTTCGTGCTGGGTTTGAGCAGGGACTATCCTTGAGGGCTTGTTGTGGGACGGCCCTTCTGGGCTCTCCGGGGGCCGCTGGTGTTTCTATCTGTTTGCCTCTCCTTGACCTTGTCCACTTAAGAGTGGATGTGCACACAGGTGGTGGCCCACGTGAGGGTCCCTGCAGTGTGCATGCAGTGGCAGGTAGCCAGAGGGTGTTTCCTCAGCCGCTCACCACCCCCCACCCCCTACTCCCACCCTGTAACGTGCACCAGGGCAGAGAAAGAGACCAGCCAGCCCCAGAGCTCCCTGACCCCTGGGGTATTGCATTCCCCCAACAGACGGGGCGAGCCTTTGTTGCTTCCACGTTACAGGCCCTGTGGCTCAGAGAGGTGGAGGAGCTGGCCCAGGCCGCCCGCAGGAGCGTGGCTGCCCCTTAGCAGGGCAGAGCTACGGGCAGGACGAGATGGACCTGCAGAAAGCTCTCGGTGAATCACACACTGGGCGGCGCTGCCCCTCACGCCCCACGCGCTCGGCCTCACGCTCTGGAGCAGCAGCCCACCCGTGGCGGGTTTTATCTGGGCCGGTTCCTTCAGGGTCTCCGCTGACCTTGTGTCGGCTGCAGTAGGAATATGTTATTAAAAATGAAATCCACTCGGTTAAGACTGGATGGCTTCCAGTAAATCTGGCTCACTCACTTGTACTCCATATGCTTAACTGTGGCCTCTAGCTAACACAAAGTGTGGATAATGGTGTAAACATTATGGAAATTTCCAATAATCCCTGTGGCTGTTTAGGAATATCTGGAATTGAATTTCAGTCTGAGGAGGATGTGAGCATCCAGTGTGGCCAAAAGGCCTTTCTTTCTCCCTGCCCGGGCCCTCCACCATCCTTTTTTTTTTTTGATTTCACAGGAAGCTTATTAAATTACCCAGAGATGCTTGAGAACCGCCTGACTTCCGTGCAGCATTCCACACAGTTACTACATTTTTCTCTTGCTCTCCCGATTTGATTAATTGCAAAAATGAAATGAAAGGAAGATGACCTCCAAACGCCCAGCGCTTTCGTCTGCAGATGTTCCCTCCGGCATATTAGGGAGACCGGGGGTGGGAGCTGGGCTCCGTCAGGGTCACGGCAGGAGACCCGTCCTCTGGGCCTCCAGCTCCTGCTGTGGTGGCGGAGGGGCAGTGAGGCTGGAAGAAACCAGCACCAGCCGTCCGCCCCGCTCCCTGGCCCTCGCCGTACTACAAGCACACTGCAGACACCTGTGCCCAGGCCCGTGCAGAAGGGCCCCTGTGAGAAGGCCATCATATGTCAGCTGTCACTTCCTGTCTGTCTTTACCTGCTGGTATGTCTGCTGTACATTTAAGGTCAGAGCCTACCTCCTTGAAATGACACATATAATAAAATTAATTCTCTGTTAACCTGAGTGGCTGGTAAAATATAACTAATTTTGTATGCATTCAGACCTGGCGTTTCTTACAGCAGCTTATTTGGGGGTCCAGTAGTCTTGAGTTTTCTAAATACTGATTGAAATACTTCATGAACAGTTTTTCCAAGCACAGCCTAGGAGTGCCTTTGAAGTGTGGTGATGCTCGCCGGGATGAGCCGCCTGGGAAGAGGCCCTGGTGTCTCCAGGAGGGGGTGGGGCATCCGTGACTCGATTTCAGCTGTGCTTCGAAAAACCTGAGTCCAGAAACAGCTCCCCTTTTGTCCATAGCAGCCCCCAAATATTCCTACTTCCCACGCTGATACAGGTGGACACCTGGGGGGTTTGTTTTCTGGAAGGAGGGATGCTACCTGGGGTTTGCCCGGCACCAGCCAGGCGAGCAGCAGCTGGACACAGCAGGAAGTTGGGCTGGGGTCAGAGGGCCGCCAGGTGAGCTCAGAGACGGTAGCAGGGGGCTCTTCATGCCTGGGTGGGAAAACCCCGCAAGCCCACGTTGTCAGCTCCAAAGAAGAGAACTGTGGTCGGCTGTGCTTAGATTTGAATAGACCAGGGATTCTTGAATAGGGAGGGCAACCCACAGCTGTTTGATGCATTGAGTCTGTGTATTGTATACATATGGCAAGTTCCCAATATTTAGTAAAATCCTGCATGGAACCAGAGAGGTCAAACCAGAAACACAGCTACTCCACACGCAGCCATTAGGCTAGTGTCTGCAAGGCCCCCCATTCCTGACGTCTGACTCCACCTCAGACCCTAAGAGGACAAGAGCCAATCCTCTCGTTTCTTTTTGTACCATTCCTACAAAGAAGAGTACCATATGTGCCCAACCTCCATTTTCCCAGTGAGATTCCCCCATAAAGGCTTTTTTTTTGGTGCCCAATTTGAACAAATTGGGAAGGTGGATGATCTAGTGACGGTGGACACTCAAATCATCTGCAAGCTGGGCTTGCAGCGTTAAAAGCGCCCTTTACACATACTGGTTTGTGCTGTGGTCCTCAGAATGTGCATGGAATGGTTTGGCTGAATTCTTCAGTTTTGTCTTTTGGGGGGAACAATCATGAATTTGCTGATAAAGTTTGGGTTAGAAAATATAAAAATGAGGAGCACAGGCTTTTTATGCAACTTTATCTTTCTGTTTCTTTGTGCACACGACCCCTCAGCAGTGATGGGAACTTACGACCCTGCTGTTTTCAGGGGGCCTTACACCTGCATCTACCTGGGGCTGCGCGTGTCTGTATCTGTGCACAAACCACCCGAGGTCTGCTGAGATGGGCAGCCTTGCCGAGGGGGAAGCGCCTGATGCATCCGTTCAGGAATGGAATTGGGGTGGGGCAGCTGTCCTGTTTCCGTGTTTTTCTCATGAGGTTGGAAGGCAGGGGCATCACTGGCAAGGCTGTGGCGCATCTCTTGAGTTTTGGGGGCATTAATTTTCTCGCAGTGGGCAAAGCATCTCACGGGATTGTTGTTGTGATTGAAAGCAGTGCAGAAAACTCTCAGTACAAGTTGTAAGCTGGCCTTCTCTTCTTCTTTTAGCTTCTGAGCAGCTCGTCGGCCCAGGATGGGGAACCACGCGGGGAAGCGAGAGTTGGGTGTAGAAAAAGGCGGTAAGGTAAGAAGCCAGCTGCTCACAGTCCGCAAAGCGTCTCTTCTGCCTCTGTGCTTAAATGCAAAACCTCTGGGTACATGCTGTGGCCACCAGGGTGTCCTGCTACACCAGTGGACTGTGACCCACTTCCCCTAGAACTTGTAGGGCGGTCCTTAGCACGTAGACGGGAACCCAGCTCCTCAGCCTGCACCCCGACCCGGGACCACCGTACTGTGACTTTGCAGCTGTGCCTGCCTTGCATCTGTCTACGCCTGACCATAGAGAACTGGAGAAACACAGATGAGCAAATGGGGAGACTGCAAATGAGAACCATCTGGATGCGTCCAGCTAGTCAGAATTAATCTTGGCGTCTCTAACATGGCACTGGTCATTCTCTACCCTATTTTACAGGCCTGGGCTTCCTGTGGTTCTGCCTCCGTTACCCTTAGTGCCCTTGGGGTGCCTCGAGATAGTGGTTCTTAGCAGTTTTCCTACTGAGCCATTCACAGTGGATGATGCTCACAAGGCCACCCAATACCAGGGGTCCTGATGGCCTCAAACGCCCACTGCTTCCTCTTTCGTTCAAGAGTCATTACAGATTATGAGGAAACAGGCCTGACATTGTGCCGAAACTTTGAAATCACCCTAAACCCTAGGTGGAAAAGAGAAATTATTCCATTTTTTTGGTAGTGCGATTCAACATTTATGTGTTATAACTCAAGGCAAATGACAGTTCACTCAAATGTCACGAGGCTAAGGATGGGATCCCGCACCTCCCCCCACACCAGCTTACACAGGGAAGTGCTTTTAAAATGCCCGCTGGATTCAACTGCATTGAATTCCAGCCTCAAGACCCCTTGACCAGGGTCTCTGCAGGAGTAGGTCCTTCTCTGATCTGTACTTGGACTCAATTTCAGTGTCAGCTAAGTGGGTGCATTTCCATAACTTGCTTTTGAATCATCCATGCATGGTAAGTGAGTGACGGCATCCTGTTCTTGCTCATATTTTATTGTAATTAAGGTTCCAGTGTTACCTAGTGCCCACCTTAGTGATTTCAGGTGAGCTAGAGGGGGTTTATGTTTTTATAATGTTACTACTGGCTTGGAGTCTTCCCCTCGCCCATGAAAGGAAAGCCTGTTTTATAAACACGTGAATGGTTCTAATAGTGTTGAAGGGGGCCTGGCTTCCCTGAAGCTCATACTTGACCTGCGTTACCCATCATTCTGTGCTCACAGCTCACAATGATCTGCGAGCTGGTGCTACTCAGTCACCATGAAGACCAGGGATTCGGGCAGCGTCCAAACTGGACAGGTTCAGCCCTGACCAGAAATGAAAGTGAATGACACCCCCTCAAACGGCTCCGGCTTGTTAGCTCTGTGGTGTTTCAGGTCTTGTAATGACTAATTTGCGACTCCTGCTTTACAAACCTGTCTGTGGCTTGCAGTTTATTTCCTGTTGTTCGACGTTGTGAAGCACCCAAACATATTTTTGATTTGTTTAATTATACCAAAGCATGATTGTTAGGCAGCAGTAAAGCCTGCGGTTTTGTTTCTTGAAGTCTAATTTTTAACATTCTGGTGAGCTAAAGACAAATAAAAATTTGGTAATTTGAAAACAGTGGTCCCTATAGGTAGGTAGTTGTTACATGTAAGAGCTCTTTTCATTTTATTTGTTGTAATGAGAGAAAATACCTGACGCCTGGGTGCCTGGGTCTGTGCTGTGGCACAGCATTTAAACTTCAACCAAAACAGACAAAAATTCCAGAGCTCCAGGCCTCCTGTTCATCATTCTGTATGTTTCTGAGTGCAATTCTGGGAGGACTTTTTTTTCCTAGGAGAGACTCTAAGGAGAGCTTTGTCTGTTCCGGGGTGCTGCCTGTGGACCTGTTAATGGGGGTTCCACAGGAGGGCAGGTCAAGCTGCCCGGGCCAGCTGGCCAACCCCACGGAGCGCCGTCTCGGGCCGGGAGAAGAGGCTCCTCAGGAAGCAGGAAGAAGGACCATGAGCTTAGGATTAGGGCACTGGGCAAAACGTTTAGGTGCTGTAAAAAGATTTGACTTTGGGCACCCAGTGTCTTGGCCCTTTCTGCCAGTCCCTGCCCCTTTTTAAGTCCTGGAGCCTCGCTGAGGGCTGCAGGCTCTGGGTGTCCCAGTGACTGGACCTCCCTGGCCCAGATCACCCCACAGACCCCCCGTGTGCACAGCGGCCGCCATGCCTGTCAGTCGAATCATACCTCTCAGGGTGGTGGCTGGGAACCGGGGTCTTCGTGATGAGTGCCCTTGCTGAGGGGGTGGCTGCAGCTCCATTGGCGTGTCCGCTGTTAACAGTGTGCGAGGGGAGTTGCCCTTCACTGACCCAGGCGTATTCCAGGCTCTGCACAGAGGTGACACTCAGCCCCGCAGGGGGGCCTGGGCCACGGGTCTCTCTCATCTGGTGGGCAGCGCAGGCTCCTTCCCTCTTGAACCTGAGGATGCCCTAAATGCCATTATTTCAGAGCAGCAATGTCCTGCAGAAAGGACTTCAGGGTGAGTTTTTGCTTTGCAGAGGAAGATCCCTCCATGGAGACTATTGCAGAGAGGCAGGAAAATCAGGTAGGCCTCGGAGGGAGGTGGTGGTCCAGGCAGGAACTGCTAGCCGCTGCGCCCACCGAACCAGCCTGTGTGCGTCTCACTGGAATAGCCCAGAGGGGGCCAATGGAAGGTTCTGGACCAGGCCTGGTTGCTGGGGAACTGCCTCCTCCCGCCTCCCAGTTCCCTGCCTATCGCGAGGGAGTGTGATTCCCAGTGCCATAACCTGTTTCCTAACACCTGAATTCATTTGCTTTGTTTTTTTTTTTGAAAACAGACTCTGTTGACAGAGGAATGAAGAAAGGTACCTTAGAATCTCATGATTTCTTTTTCTCCATGAAACTAGTGAGCTTTGCTAGTTTGCAACATTATAACTAGGAAACGTGAAAAATAAAGACAATGAGTAGGTTAGTTTTTCCCAGGAAATCCAGCCATGAGCTACGAAGGTGTGGAATCCGACAAGTAATAATAATTTTGAACACCTGCTTCCAGGTGTGGGTGGCCAGGACAAGGCCACCTCTGTGCCTTCCCTGTGTGTGTGTCTGGCTCACGGAGGTTCTAGTCTAGTAATATTTCTGAGTTTTCCTACTTAATCCACTTTATGGAAAAGATCTCCAAGAGCTTGCAAAATTTAGATTCACATCTAAATTTTGCAGTGGGGAGTAACTTAGTCTGGTTTTTCAAATTAAGCTGGTTAGCTCTTCAAAGCCACGTGCATGCCACACGGGACAGCAGGCATATGCTTGCCACCTCTCTGGGGAGCATCATGCCCCTGGAGAAGCCATTTGCATATTTAATCATCATCTAAACCCTGCTCTCTTATGAGACTCTCCAGATAATATTAGAATGGCACTCTGAGATATGGGAGATTTGGTCTGCAAGTGTACACAGAGGTGCTGACCGGTTAGCGGGTGACGGTCTTTCACATTGATGGGGAAGCAGATATCCTTTAAAGCTGCTGGCCTCCCAGCTGTGGGATGGGCTGACTTTTCCACCTGTGGGTTCATTCCTGAAGGCCATTCCTCTTGGGAATTGGGTCCTGAACATCTCAGCCCATGGGAGGACGCTGTCAGCCTACTGCCCTTGGTCAGTGAGCTCTGTTCTCGCTCGACAGTCCTCAGGAATGAGACATGTTCTGTGCAAACCATCACCTGCTGCTGCTCCATGCAGCCACCACTCTGCATGGAGATTCAGTTCAGTGAGGGCCTGACCTGTGTCCCTCTGTTGATGGGCTACTGACCTCAGCCTGTTGCCTAGTGTCCCATGTCCACTCCCTGCTGACTGCCAGCAGGCTTCACCTGAGGATGCCAGCCAGCAAGCCCAGGGCGGGGTGCTGTCCTCTGAGCCGCAAGCAGACCCGGCTGAGCTCCCGCCGGAGCATCGTGGTTTTCTCTGTGTCACGCTTCCTCCCACAGTTCCTTGTAAAACCAACCGCTGTCGCCATCGCTGTTTCACAGAGTGGGGAGCAGAATCACTAAGTCACTTCCTGCCGCTCCCCCAGCCCCTGCCTGGAGCATCGAGCCATAGGGCTGACGTGCCTTTGAGCACCCAGTTCACCCGGAAATCTCACCTTTGTGATTTGACCGCAGGGCGTTGGCTGTTGTTAAACCCATAAACATATAATTTCTATCTTATCAGGAAAGTCACAGAAGCAAAATTTTTTGAGAACTCAAATAATTAGTTTGCAACATTATAACTAGGAAACGTGAAAAATAAAGACAATGAGTAGGTTAGTTTTTCCCAGGAAATCCAGCCATGAGCTACGAAGGTGTGGAATCCGACAAGTAATAATAATTTTGAACACCTGCTTCCAGGTGTGGGTGGCCAGGACAAGGCCACCTCTGTGCCTTCCCTGTGTGTGTGTCTGGCTCACGGAGGTTCTAGTCTAGTAATATTTCTGAGTTTTCCTACTTAATCCACTTTATGGAAAAGATCTCCAAGAGCTTGCAAAATTTAGATTCACATCTAAATTTTGCAGTGGGGAGTAACTTAGTCTGGTTTTTCAAATTAAGCTGGTTAGCTCTTCAAAGCCACGTGCATGCCACACGGGACAGCAGGCATATGCTTGCCACCTCTCTGGGGAGCATCATGCCCCTGGAGAAGCCATTTGCATATTTAATCATCATCTAAACCCTGCTCTCTTATGAGACTCTCCAGATCATATTAGAATGGCACTCTGAGATATGGGAGATTTGGTCTGCAAGTGTACACAGAGGTGCTGACCGGTTAGCGGGTGACGGTCTTTCACATTGATGGGGAAGCAGATATCCTTTAAAGCTGCTGGCCTCCCAGCTGTGGGATGGGCTGACTTTTCCACCTGTGGGTTCATTCCTGAAGGCCATTCCTCTTGGGAATTGGGTCCTGAACATCTCAGCCCATGGGAGGACGCTGTCAGCCTACTGCCCTTGGTCAGTGAGCTCTGTTCTCGCTCGACAGTCCTCAGGAATGAGACATGTTC